ATTATAGAGAATAATGTGATATCGTGACTGTCTCTTTCTTTTGTTTTCTTATCTCTATCTGTTTAATCTACTCGTTTAAACTTCACATTTATTTTACAACTTTAATTACTTTGCTTTTAAATATTTTATTTTTTAACACCACCATCCACCACTAAGAATTGCAGAATTATTTCTCGTGCTTGAAAGTAGATATAAAAATTGTTAAATATAAAATAACAACATAAATTTACCTAAGATTTCTTATTGTAGCTTCCTAAGGCAAGTTTTATTTTGTTCTTTATTTTTTGAGCTTTTCATATTGAAATCATTATTTAATTTCATTTTACCTACGAATAGAAATTTATAAAAATTAAAATATAATCAAGAGTTTACAAATAAAAGAACTTCTTTGAAAATTACATATTTGTTTCTAATTTGAATAATTATCTTGAAGCTGACTATTTCTTAAGTTTATTTGATCAATGTAATTTGAATGATTAATTAATAAAGAGAGTAAAGAAAATGGTGAATATTAGAAAACGACAGCACAAAAATGAACGTCAGTTCTGTTCCCAATTTATTCTAGGTCATGAACTTCAATTGTTTGTTATTACTCAAATAAATTCAATAATTACATCATGAATTCATTTTTAATTCCTCATATTTTGAATGTAAACATTCATCTACGTTGAAAGAAATAACAAATAAAAAAACAAATATGTTAAAAATCATAGTTGATGGATAAGTACTAATTTAAATTAATGTATTGATTTCTAAATGGGAAAGTATTGTAGGTAATGGAGTAAAACGAATGTTCCAAGTGTTGTTACATGATGAATTAATGATTTCTACTCTCCAACATCAATGGATTATATCTAAATATTTAATTACTCTAATAAAAATTTTATGTGATCGAGTTTCTAGCTAATTAAAAAAAAATTAACATTTTACTAAAAATAGTTTATTAAAAAAGGTAATTAAAAAATACTTCTTGTAACATATTCCAGCATATTCTGACGTAAGAACTTATGGAAAACATTTGCTGTTACATAAATCTATCTTTATTTCAAAATTAAATGAATTAAAAAAAAAACAAAAGGTTTTTATATAAAAAAAATTAAATTTTTTTCTGGATTATTTATGTGGTCATATTATAATGAGAGCTGATATTATATTAGAGGAAATACAAACCACTGTAAAATGAGACATGTTACCATGTAATATTCAACATAATCGACAAAAGGTTCATAATAGATATTATGATTATATTAATTCATAATTCATATCAGTATCCACATTTATATTATACATTTCATTTCTCTAAATTTAATCAATCAAGCAATGAATGCATAAAAAATTGACTTTCATAATTAAAAAATATTAATCCCGAATAATAAATACGTTATCGTTTTTTTATTGATATACAGCTTCTATAGAAGTCCATTACAAAGCTAAAGGCATTTTAAAGCAAAAAGTTATCTTATACACTACATCACGTGGATTACTTATAAGAAGTAGAGTTATTATTTGATTTTCACAATGGCATCACATAATAGGTGTATGTGGTACATCTTTTGAAGATAGACAAGATAACTTGATAGATGGTATGGTATGAAGATATACGTAAGATAGCTCACAGGTGCGGTATCCGTGAAGTAAAAAAGACGTTCCAAGACTTAGATGACAGAAAGGATTGATCACTCAGATTCGTCGATGCTTATTTTTCTCTTGTCATTTTCGTTTCAGGCCATCACTTTTTTTTATAAGGCACCAGTTTTTGTTATATTTTATGCAATTGAATTATAATGGTATAAATATGAAATCTATCATAATCGTACTATATTCTTTATGAGAATATGAATTGATGACCGACTTGAAGATTGCCGATAGGTATGAAGTGTCTGACCTAAATCTGGTAATACTACTTAAATTTTTCCATCAAAAGAAATTTTGTAAAAATTACTATACTTGATTACTCACATTAAAAGTTCACTCCATTAAACAAAAAATAGTGAATTAAAGTATAAAAATATAAAAAAATTAGTTAATTTTATTTAAAAGCTTTTAGAGAAGTTAAACAAATAAGTTTTCAATATGTTAAAAATCATAATGAAAATTGATATTTACTTCAAAACTAAAGTTGGACAATTTTTTATCGTCTTTTGTTTACTTAATTAAGCAGTTACATCTCAATTTGTCTGTTTGTATTGAAAATTAAACTTTTATTGACATTACCATTCACAAACAGCTACAAGTCTCTAATCAGTCATAAGTTTTACTATGTTGAGCTCAATCTAATTTCTTGCTATTTCTAATCATCACTCTACTCTTGATCTAGTTATAAAGACAAAATAAGGTATATATTTTTCATTCACATTTTATCAATATTTGACAAAAATAATTCAACGAAAAATTGTGAGTACGATAATTTAATATTGAATAATATTAATTGATATTAATCAAAGCTCTTTGGAATAAAATTTATTACTTTTACATTATGTTTTAATTCAGTTTCGATTATTGTGCATTTCACTAGACGGTATTTAACAAAATAAACAATGTTTTAAATTAATTGAAATCAAAGCCTATCGAATAACACATAGAGTTACTTTATTTAATGAAATCTATTAATTCCATGACAGTATTTTTAATATACCCAAAACATTTGTAAATGGAATCAGATTTTATACCGACATTCGAGTTATCAATTTATAAAAGAAACTTTATTCATTTTATTTTTTATTTAACTGCTCAATATTTGGAATAGCCAAATGATTGAATTTCAATATTTTATTATTTTGTATATAATATGGATAACTATGTAAAATTTAAAACAGTAATTTAAAACTAAATAAGTTTGCAGAAAGCTGAGAGAAAGAAAGTAGTTGATATCGAAATTTCTCGATTACAAATACAATTGTTACGGTTTATTTGTAAGAACCAGGATGCGATGCAAGCTTGGTAATATGCGAACGTGCCCAGCTTAGTGAATCGTTCTATTTCTCTCAGTATCTTCCTCTCTTGATCGAATCATGCGGAACTAAACTAAGAATCTCTCCTCCATATCTGTACTTTATGTCTGTACTCCATGAAAATGTCAAAGACCTGTTCAAGTTCAAAGTCTATCAGTTTATTATATATAAAAGGAAGCATAAAATTAGATTATCTACCCAACCAATGATGAAATAGAATTTTATTCCTATCATGTAAAGCATCTCTAATAACGAAATATCAAAAGTTATACTTTGATGAAATGAAATTCAACATCTACTATTAAATAATACTTATATGCGAATTTATTTGTAAACTGTTGCGACACGATTTTTATTTGTACTTTTTTAATGCTGTATTTGCAAAAATTGAAGTTCCTTTTCCGTTAAATTTCCTTCTTTCTTCGTCTTTTTTTGAGAAAAGTTTATAGTAAATATTTTTTACTATCGCGTTAAATTTTTCATATTTTTTTTTTGTTTATCAAATGCATATAATCTTTTTTGAGTGGATTTTATCTTGCAATGTTACTGAAAAACTTATGAAAAAAGTTGATTTAAAAAAAACTACTTTTAGTTATCCTTGAGAAATTTTAAAATGTCCGAACAAGCATTGATTATTCTACTTGAAATTCTTTTTTCTTTCATTGAAAGCCGGATAAGAACTTTAGGAAATCAAAGACTCATGTTATTTGACTGAAAATGTTTTATTTTGGAAAAAAAGACGAAATTTCTATTCTATGAATAATAAAAAGCATGAATAAAAAATTAAAAAAGAATTTAATAATACAACTAATTTAAGAACGAAAGATATAACGTCATCTTATTCTGACATTTCCAATTATTGATTTTTAAAATCAATTTTCATGCATTGGAAAAAAAATCGAGTTAAAACAACCTCCTTAAGATTTCAATTACTTCTTTGATCGATCTTGAATATTTATAAATTAATTAATAAACATTCCATCTTTGCATTTTTCAAGAATGTAGAGGAGAAGTTTGAATCATGGATCACTTTTGTTTTTAATAAATCATTTTTTACCCAATTAAATTATCATTCTTCAAATTTATTGCCAAAAAGTTATTTTTTAATACATTGAAGGGTAGTTGTTCTATTTTATTTAGTTTTTTTAACAGTAAGGAACGTAGTTATAATATTCTATATAAAAAAATTAAACAGGTACAACAATTATTATTTGATTTTATTGTAAAAGATTTTAAAAAGAACAACAATAGGTTTATTGGTGTTTATATTGAAAAATGAGTAAATGACTATAAACCTGTAAATGATTGATTATAGAACTAGTTAGTTAATCTCAATCAATACTTTATCAAAAGAAACCGCAAAGCATGCTCTTATATTATAGATGAAATTACATTCCAAAGTGCAATACTATGATGAATGCTTTTCTTTATCCATCTACTTGGCAAATATTTCAAAATGATCAGACATTTTTCATACAAAAAGCTTAAATATAAAAATTCTTTCACCTTATAATTGATTTATATCAGCATCTAAAATGGCATTAAATTAAATACCAACTTCAAGCCCCTGTCGGCCATGAAGCAGTGATAAGTTGTAATAATAACTTTTTAATTTCTTCTGACACAAAGAAACGAAATAATTAGTGAAAAAAGGAATAAAATAACTTTGAAGTTAACTTGTTTGTAAGTGAGTCTGAGAAAGGACGAAAAATCGTTGAAGGCGCGTTGGTTGGTAAATGAAGAGTTGGTTTAATCCTTGGCCGACCTGCTTACCCAAACTCCCGTTAATTTTGTGAGCCATTCGAGTGTACACTTACTTTTCTAACTTTCAGCAGCTACAGCTGCACATATAGAAAAGTAGAAAACGAGAAAATTTTTGGTGCAGATTGAGCGATAGCAGTGTACTTTGAGTACATACATATCAAGTAAATAATACTTTTTGAGATTTTAAATAAAATTATCTTTTTATTTTCTTCTCACCACTTCTCCTATTTCACTTATCTTATCGAATTAATCCTCCTGAATAAATAAATGTTTAATTGCTTTCAGATTTACTACCTAGATTCGGAAGACCACTGAACAATCTCACCGTCTCAGTTGGCAGGGAAGCCGTATTTAAGTGCATTGTGGAAAACCTCGGAATGTACAAGGTAGGACTAATAAATTTATCAACTATTTGTTATTTATTACTTACTATTATAACAATTTATTATTTATTACTTTAGTACGTCTAATGTCACTTACGTATCTCAAGTAACTTAATTATCTACTGATAAAATCTCATGAGATGTGAGTTCAGCAGTTTGTTGAAGGTTTAAGTCTCATTTTTTACTGTTTTTACAATCTTCAGTATTTCAATGTCTTTTTCTTACCTTCATTTATGATCATTTTATTTGATAAATGCATCATCAGATGTTCATGTCTGCTTTCTAGTTTGCTTGTTTGGATTCAGTCGTGTTTTTAACTTTTATGCTTTTTTTTTAAAGGAAGTAGAGGTAATGGTAGGGAAGATAAAGTGAAGTACGAGAGTAGTGGGGTGTAGAAAAATTTATATTAAATTTTATAGTAGTCTAAAAACAAACTAGGATGATTGTTTTATTACAGATATTTTTTTTTGCTCCAAAAACACTTTAATGATTTTTTAAATATTCGTTTTATTTTTTATGATTTTACTTTTACTAGGATCAATATGATTCGCATCAAAATCATTATGACTAATTATTGTTAAAGAGTTGTTTCTAGTGCTAAATAGAGCTAGAAATGCAGAGAAAAGTCATCAACAAATCATTGATGAATGTTTTCGAAACAAAGAAAATTTTTTTTCATGACTCGAACAAAAGTGTCTCGCATTGTCCAGACTACTATTACTCCTACTTTCTACATGCCCCATTGTACTTCAACGTCTCACTTTACTTCACGTTTCCCATATACACATATGCATGCACAATTACTCCAATGTATTTGGAGAACCATCGCATTGATTTTCCACCCAAATTCTTTTTATGTACACTGTCTATTTTCGAAATATCTTGAAACTCTTTAAATTTAAATTAAAAATCTTCAACTACTTACAAGATAATTTAATTTATAATTACTTTTTTGGTCCAAACCCAAGATTAAATTTAAAGTTTAGTTTCGACTTTAAAATCTTCTATTTCTTTGATGTTTCAATTGCTGCCTATCATTTAATTTCATTTTGGAAATCATCAACTTCATTGAAGATTTTGATGTCTTAGACTGATCTAAAGAATTTTTTTTAAGTCATCAATGTCATCATAAATTTTTATAACATTGTTTGTATAGCATTGATACACTTTTGAAGTTCAAAATAAGTTTTTCAAGATCCATTTTTAACCTCAATTTTGTTAAAGCGGACGAAACAATAAAGTTGAAGTTGAAAATGGGTTTAGATTAGATGTATGATGATATACTTGTAATTTAAATTTCAACTTCAAAGTTGTAATTGAAGACTTTAAAGTAAAAAAAATATTTTAAATTCTGTCTCAAGAAAATATCCATTTTTATTCAATTATTAACAAGTGATTAGAATTAATTAATTAAAAGCTTGATCCATTTCATGATAATTCAAGAATAGTTCACTACAAAGATGTTAGATTGAAGACATGTTTCAATTAATTTCTAGAATTTTTTAGTAATAATAGATCATTATTTTTTGCAAAAAATTATCAAGTATTATTTCGCAGATGTCCAACCATTTAAGGCGAAAAGGTCCAGACCCCATGAGGCCTATGAAACTCATAATTCATTTTAGTAATGCCTATAACGTTTTATCGTTTTACTTAGAAGTATTATAAGTATTTTATTTAATGAAAGTAAAAAATTAACGGCACTTGTTTTCTACTGTTCATACCTATTAATGTATTACCTATATGTAGTATTCAATTTTAGAAATTTTTGTTCAGTGGATTTAAAATAAAATCAAAATTTATTTAAAAATTTGCAAGTCACTTTTCACAAACCTAAAAACACATCAAAAATGACTACAATGTTAATTAAATGGGTGAAGTTATATTTAACACGTTTAGATGTGTAACAATAATGCACTTGGATTTGCAGTGTAAATACTGATGTTGGGTCTTGAGAATTTTCTTTACTCTTGCTTTCTAATTTCGCGACTTATCGAATCGAATTTCTAGAAAGTTAACAATAATTAAAATAGACACTAATTGCAATGATGTTACGCATTTATTTCATTATTCAGTTTAATAAACTTGGTAATACAACTAAAATATAATCATTGGAATAAATCTGGAACTTTTTCGTACCAAGAGGCACGTTTATGCATTACCATCAGTCTAAACGGGAAATTATATAATTCCATTAAACAGCCAAAATGACTTTCCGTGCGGAAGCAAAGGGAGAAAAGGAGAAAAAATGAAACGACAGGGTCGAAAAATGAAGACTACTGCTTCCTATGTATTTTTTTATCATATTAAATCTAATTGAAAGTGCGCGAAAAGGGGCTTTAAACTCCTTATATCTTTGAATATAATATCAATATATTTTTATCATCTTCTAAATAAATATCGTTAAGAAAAAAATCTACTATTTTAGATACATTATCTTTTAGTCTAAAAGATGTTCTCAATTAATTATCTTAGATATAAATAGCACACAAAAAATTAATTAAGTTCCTCTTCTTTTTTTTCATAACGTATACTCTAAATATTTTTAATGTTTCTTAAGGCAGTAAAAATTATCGTGCACTAAAAAAAAAAAATTGAGCCAAAGTTTTCAATTATACTTGTGAAAAAAAAATTCCCAAACCACCTTACCTTCTGGACTAAATAATTAAGTGCAAAAAAAATTAATCGTTAGCTATTTAGTGGTTTTTATGGAAATTGGTAAGACCGCAAAGAAATTATGTGGCCAAGGATTCTCTTTTCTGAAATTTGCAACTTTTGCAATCTCAGATAGTTAAATGGTCTTTAAAGATAGCAGAGACTCTTGTCTTTATTCTGCATCCCAATTACATTCTCCACTGTTTCTCTTAGTCTCAATTAGCTACAAGTGAAAACTCTTCTATAATTAAATCTAATAAAACCACAATTCCATTTAAATTTCATCCGATTAAATGAATCTTATTCGAAATGCCACACAGCTAAAAAATGCTTTGCTATTTATATTTTGGATTCATTAAAGAATTTTCTCACCTTAATGACAGTCATTTTGGTATTCATTTTTTTAATTAATTTTTCAGTGTATTAAGAAAATTTTTATGGTAGTGAATGAGTTAGTTCACATCTCTGGAGTAACGATTTTAGCTAAACGTCGTTTAGCTACATAGGTTGGGAAGGATTGCCATTATAACCATCCGATAACCTTAGGGTAATAAAACGTATACCTGAACCTATTATATAGGTAGAAGAGTGATATGAGTAATACGCTAATAGCAATACTTCAGATAGGTGATTATGATAAACACATACATATTTTATTCCAGTTACAAACTCTCAGTAAATAATTTGACACATTTTTTAATATACAAGTAATTGAAAAAAACTTTTCGACTGATTATGCTAGAATTTTTGCATGTGCAGATAACTAGTGCTTTTCATTTTGTCTAAAATAATTCGTGTATAATTTTAAAAAGCATACTTTTCAATATCTTCTTCAAAACACGTGTGTAAATTGATATTAAAAAATAATAATAAATGATTATCGAATTTGGGAGATAAAATTATTCAAAAGATTAATTTCACAGAGATAATTATTTTATTAAATATAATATTGGTAAAATAAAGTGTTTATAGTGGTAATTGAGGTTCAACATAAAAGAACAGCCCATGAACTCTCTAAACAAAACAACGATCAAAAATACGTTACTCCAATGTTTATAGATAATAAATTGAACATTTAAATATAAATGAATAATGATATCAAAATTGATGAAACTATGGATCAAAAACTCGTAAATTTTCTGCAGAAACTTCCAATCCCCTTAGTTCAGCGGAAATAAGCTCTTTATTTTTCTGGTGGTTGCAAAAAATTCGACAATATTCACCAATTGGTTCATAAAAAATTCATTTATCCATTTTTATGTAAATGATATATTTTCTTAAACTTTATTTATTCAATACAGTCTAAACAGTGCAATAACTCAAGCATGAACGTGACCCCTATACGTAAATTTCGTATAAAGATCGATTTTCGAGAGAAGCTTGTTATATAGCTAACAAACGAGAGAAAAAGTGGATATGAGGTTGAAGGTACGTTTATCGCGTCGTGGCGATAATAATTTCCTCCCTCTCTGTTTTATCGTTATTCTCGTTACGTATGCAAAGCCCATTGCAAAACCAAGTTAGCCGTCGCTAAACGTCGGCATACAATGCTTGTCAGGAAATATTCCACTGACAATAGAATGTGTGTAAATTCATCAACCTCTGCTGCTTTATTATATGCCAGTATTAGTGTAATAAATAATATTGAAGAAATTTTAATTCAGATTAATTTGAGTAAACAACAAATCAATCGACGTATGTTGACTTATTCCATACACGATCTATTCATCTGAATTATATTATTTATTATCTATTATTTATTAGATTGTATTGATTTATGTACTACAGACAATACGCAAAAAACTATTATTATTGCGATTTAATGAATTACTAAAAATTGAACTTAATTTTTTTTTAAACTCAATTATCAGTCGCAAACGATTAATTAAAATTTGTTCAATTGTTTAAATTAATAATTAATTCTTTTAATTTAACCATTTGTCTGCATTTACAACTTTTCATATCGTCATTTGCTGCTTATTCAATTGAATATTTAAAGCAAATAATAGTTATATAATAAATGTCAAGTAATTTAACATTTAATAATACTAGAACACGTATTTATGCAGAAGAAGAATAATTATTGTTCATGAAAATTTGCATCGGTTGTCCACTCTTTTTAATTTTAATTGTTCGTTGATGACCTACTGTTTGTCAGACTTTCAGTGTTATACATAAAAAAAGCCACTAAATAATTGCGAGAATAATTTAGAATGTTGCTTTCCACCGTAATGGGGTAGACGATGAGTATGAATTTTTTCGTTTTAATTTTACATGTAAAGTTGGAATCAATTTTGTAAGATTTCATGCTCATTTTACATGAATTGACATAGTTATTATCAACTTTT